GGTGGCTTCCTTCCTTCCTTCCCTTCTTCCTCGGCGGCGGCGGCGGCTCCCAGGCGCTTCCTAGGCAGTGTCAGGACTGGAGGGGAAGGAAGGGCGGATGCTGCTGCTGCTGCTGCTGCTCAAATGCTCAGCGGCGGCTGCTAACACGGGAGCAAAAAGGGGAGGGGAGAGTTTGGTGTCAGTTAGGCGGAGTCCAAACTGCTCCTCTCCTGGGTGATGCTGAGGGGCTAAACACACACACACACACACACACACCCGCCCAGCTCTCCTTCCCTTCCTCTCCAGACAATACGGACAGCTTTCCATGGCAGGCATGTTGGGAAATAGGCTAAACATTCTCCACCTTTACCTCTCTGTGTGTGTGTGTGTGTGTGTGTGTGTTTGTGTGTGTATGTGCCCACCTTTTTCTTGCCACCCAGGCGAGGGAGCCTCAGGGCTCGGAATCGGCTGAGAGAAATGGGAAGGGTTTGTTGCCTTTGGGGAGTCGGCGATCCTTTGCCCCCCCCCGCCCGGGGGTTTTTACTTGGGAGTAAGCCACCTAGCTTGCCACCCGCGAGACCTCCTCTCGACGAAAACAGGACCACACCTGAGGCGGCCGGGCGGCCAGCAGAAGCAGGTTTAGTGGCGCAGGCGCCCCCAGGGGCACGAACGAGCCGTGCGGCCGAGTTGTGGGTTATGCCCGGTTGTTGTTGCCACTACGAAAGGGTTGCTGTCCCCCCCCCCCAAGGCGGACTTCGTTGGGAAGAAGTACGCCCCGCTAAAGTTCACTTCCCGACTTTACCCGAGGCAAAGTGGCGGGACTTCAAGGCGGGAAGCCACAATCCAAAAGATACTAAGGGTCACAGTGGTGCCTTGAACGCTACATTTCTTTTTTAACAGGAAAAGCGATAGACAAATTCGGTAAATAAATATACCCCGTCGAAATCCACGGAAATCTACTTATTTCTAGGTAAACATTGTTAGGATCAAAAGACTAGCTAACAACACTCATCAATCACAGTAACAGATCCTCTCCCCGCTTATCACAACAATACACCCATAACAAAAAAAATACCCTGATCACCATAATCACCCAATCTCCTGAAAAAGCTGATCCCACAATTATCCCACACACTACACCAGAACACAGACAGAGTTCTAACTCCTGTCCTCTGAAGATGCCAGCCACAGGGATGGTGAAACATTAGGAAGAAAAACCTCTGGAAGACAGCCAAACAGCCTGAGAAACCTACAATAGTCAAAAAGAATTATATTCAGGTTAAACTTTCTTAAACAGATAGGTTTCAGGTAGACACCGCAAGCAACACCATGAGGAAAGGAACCTGTGGCTCTTCAGATGTTATTAACTATAGGTTCCAATATGCCTGATGCTGCATTTCCCCCCATCAAGCTCTAATGTCAAAATAGTGAAAACTATTTTTTTTCTCTTTGTGAAGCTAAGCACACTTACTCAGCCAATGAAAAAAGACTGGGTGACTGATAAAATCATTTCGCGAACCCATCCAATGTGTCTATTTTAAAAAGTTAATGCAACAGATGAGCAGAGACTGGCGAAACGTCAGGAAGAAACGTCAGGAAGAACACAGCCAAAGAGCCTGAAAAACCCACAAGAGCCATCAGATCCTGGCCGTGAAAGCCTTTGAGAATACAGTTTTGTGTATTATTTGCACAAAAAGTAATTAGCAGGAACCCTAACTGAAGATCTGGTGAAACATTTATTTGAGGGCTGCCTACATAGCTCATTTAAAGCTGGCTAAATAGGAATTTAAGTTCATGTAGAGATCCAGAAGCCTATTGGGTGTGATCCTTGCATCCAAATAGCATTTGTAAGAAAACAACAATAAGAATTCCACTCCTACCCCCCCTCCTTCTGGGAGGAAGCTTTCTATTTTTTAATTTTTTTTCTAAGAGGTATAGTTCATCATCACTGTCATAACAGACTTAAAAACCTTCTGCACCTCCACACAGAACCAAAGGAAATCTTTATTTTCCCATTATCGTGAATAGCTAAACTGTCTTAAGCCACTTAACAATATTGGGAAATTAAACATGGAAGAGAAATTTAAAGCTGCAAGCTCTGCTTTGGTTCAATCTCACTGATTACATGTGCTGGAAACAAACCAAAATGGAGCAATCCCACCTGTCACAAAAAAACAGTAGCCCCTGACAAGAACCCAGAATGGTGTAGGTAGGAATGCTCTGGGGATACGTAGGGTGGTTGATTCTAGCAACGATGTCATCTGATTGCCTGCACAAGGAGTGAAACAGCCTGTCCTTCCAGGGGTCACACAGTGAGACAAATATCACTCTGATTGCACTCTGAAGTTGGGAACTCAGTAGCATCTATGCCAAATTCTATGTGTCCACCTACTATTGCTTTAGAGATCTTTCGGGAGAAATACCCACACAAACTCCCAACATCATTTATAAGAAGATGTGAAGCTTTTGTAATGCACACTATGCAGTGCTGCACATGAAAACAGCTAAGAGACATCAAATGGCTCAATAAAGGAAGTCACAGCCTTGAGTTTGCAAGAGTTGAGCAAAGGTGTTGACAACAGGACTTCTGAAGGGCACTAATTCATAGGGTGGTCTTAAGCTAGAAGTGACTTGACAGCACATAACAAAAACGAACATCAGTTAGTCTAAACGTTGTAGCCAAACCTGTAAGATGAGCTTATCGCATGGGGCAATGAAACAGTATTATTCAATGCCATTAGCTACTTATTTGTTTCCAGACCCATTTTAAATATCTGGAACCAGGAAAACCAGGAACACTATTTAATTCACCTTGCATACTCCAGCCGACTTTAGACATCTTGCTACTTCGGGAGGTGTGTGGGCAGCAGACTTGTCACTCACTCACAGCATCACAACTATAGAATTCTCTTACTCAGTCTTCGATTGCCTTTCCAAGAGCAGTGAAAACCTAACTCTTCAGGAAGCATCTTATTATATTTTGCAGGTTATGTTGTCAGGTGTTAATTGTTTTTGTGTTTTTAAAAGTTTCCCGGCCCCTCCTAGTTTTTTTTTTTCCTAAGGATGCTTCAAGACAAGAGTTTGGGAAGTTTAGATGCCTTACATAAGTGACAGAATTCAGGTGAGGTGGACAGAAAATATAACCCTTTTCCATTCGTAACCTTCCTAGGCTTTCTCACTGTTCTCTCCCTCCCCATTACTTTAGAGAATCTGTCAAGGAGAAAGAATACTATACAGTGTATTTTAATTGGTAGTACTTGGAGCTCTCTGTCTGGAACAACCCTAAGCATCCCTCAAGATTTGCAGAGAAGGATATTAAAGATTGCAATAAATAAATCATGTAAAATGAAATTAGCTTGTAGGGCTGGAGAGACCTGATATGTTTGTATGTATGTTTCTTTCTTTGTTTCAAGAAAACGGAAAGAGCTATAGAAGAGGGTTGGGCAAACTATTTGACCGAATCACATATTCTACACAGATTTTGGCTGAAACTGATTTGGATTAGATCTCAATTGAAACATGTGAGACTCAAGTGTTTTGGTTTGTTCCAAAGCATTTGGATTAATCCAGGGATTCAGCCCATTGACATTTCTAACAGGGAATCTGAACCAAGAATCTCACCAGCATGCTCCATTATGGGGAGGGATTATCTGCAGTGTTCTGAACCAAGAATCTCACCAGCATGCTCCAATTCCAATGCTTATGGGGAGGGACTATCTGCAGTGGTAAAGTGAGTGTAGATGCAGTGGGTCAAAGCAGCACCACTTGTTCAGTTTGGTAGTTAGGTTCATGCAACCATTACTAATTACATGGCAGAGGACAAAATGGTTGTCTGTATACAGACTGTATCGGGTGGCTTTGTTAGATTCCGTAAAGTACTTTGGAGGGGGTTATGGATGTGAGAGATCTTGAGTAGGTGTTTAAACCATTTCTTAGGGCTGGACTTTAAAAATCACTTATCATCACCCATTGGTGTTTGCTTCTAATCTATTTCTTCAGACTTTTGTTCTTTAGAAAGTAGATTTGGACTGTGTTGGGTTCCATTTTTTATCATTAAATTTATTTAATTTACTTTGGATGGGTACATTGCTAACTTCTTTAATCTGCCCCCTACCTCATTACTGTTACTTTGGGGCTCTTCTTGGCTTTCAATACAATCATTCAGTTTTCTTCTTCTAATCCTCAATGTTCTTTCAGTTGTATGCAGCTATTTTTTCCTTCCTTCCAAACAAGAGATCATAAGTAGCAGTTTTCAACCCGAGCTGTTTGTGTGAATAACAAAACAGAAATGGAAGAACTTGTTGCTACAAGCACAGACCACTGCACAACATGAGGAAATAATATTTTTGAAGAAGTATACTTGTTTTAGGCAGTCAAATTACCTCTTCTATATTTTTGATCGTCAAAATAGTGCATATATTTGCTTGTATCTTCTTAAGTGACATGTCAACAAGAAGCACAACCTGTAGTCAACTTCACACTTCCATAATTTGATTGGCAGTTAGTTGAATAGTAGTGTATGTGTGTGTCTGTTTTGTTGCTATATTTTTAAACTA